GAGGACATTTAGGAAATATAGTCATATCTGCTGGTCACTTATTTTAACTTGAGGCATGGCTTGGCAGCAGTTAAGAAGATGGATGATACTAAAAACATGTTAATTGATGAAAGGCAATATATTTTGAAACACAGTTTTTTTTATATATAGCCCATGGGCAAACATCTTGTATACAATGAAGCATGGTGTAAAGGTAGCCTGGCTAACAATGGCCCGAGCTTGTACCTGGCCTCACAACCCAGAGCCACTGCCTACCTGCTGCCAGTTTCCACACTCCTTGCACAGAGCTGCTAATACCTTAAACAGTGCTGCACCAATGCTGCAATGGTACTTGTACTCAACTGGTTGCCTCATTGCTGCTCTGTGGGGTGGCTGCCTGGTGTTCCCTTGTGTTGTCATGCTGAGCAATTTTCTCCACATGGTGCTATCTGTGATGCTACATCTTTGGAAGTTCTTGGCCCCACCTGCTGTTGTGCAATTGAGAGAGCTGAGAACTACAAGGGCTGAAGACTGAATTTCTTACAGGATATTCAACTTTGGTTTTAGCCCGTCTGCTCCTGTGACTAGCAGTAGATTACATCAGAATAAAGAAAATTAATATACAGCCCTCTACCTTGGAAAGACAAGTAGTCTCTCCTATCACATTCATCTCCTCAAAATCCAGCAGATATTACGAGCACCTTAAAAGAATTTAGTTTCTCTTCAGCTTCTTTAAGCAGCAATTATTGTAGTTTCCCCATGTTAGGAAACGAGCCTATATTAAGGCTCATAGTGATAAAGCATTTTACTCTGTGTTTCCTGATGAAAGAATTCTTTTACTCCCGAGGATTTGTTAGCTGTAGAATAGGTCTTGGCCAGGAGCTGCAGGCAGAAATAAGTGTTTTGAGGCTGAATGCAGATGGTAAACAGCTCTCCATGTGCAGTCACTGAAAGGGTTCTTCTGGGCACTTTTCTCCAAAGTCAGGGCAGAGACCTGAACAGATTTAGGTGTGAAATCTGACTTCACATTACTGTTACCTTGAAAACTTACCTTGCATTGAAGCTGAATTACTTTCTTATGCTAAGTTGCTCTGTTCTTTCACCTATGGCCATGTTGCCATGGCAAAGTCACTCCTGCATGTGTATGTTTTGAATACATAACCTACAAAGCACTTTCAATTCCTTTGACATGGTAGGCATCTATTTTCCAGCTGATTTTCTTTAGATACAATCTGTAAAACAATTGGAGAACATGCTATCAGTAGGCCAATTCACATTTCCACAACAGCATCACAAAAAGCCTATGTACACGTGTTGCATGTTACACATGTGAGTGCTCTCTAAGCACATGCCTTTTTATAGGATCAAGCATCTACATAACACATCTTTGGTTTCATGCTGTTATCATGCTGCAGCAAAATTCCTTGGGGTTTTCATAGCAAGTATAGAAAATTAAATTATAGCAGCCTTTGGTTGAAAACAAGAACAGTGCAAATTTTATCCTTCCTAGTATAACTTCTCTAAATAAGCTATAGTGTTATTTATTTATTTATTCTTGTATTAACACAATTTTCCACTAGCCTGTCACAATGACCACACATTTTTGATTTTATATGTCCGTAAATAAATAAAAAAATGTCAAATTAGATTGGTAATGCTCTGAACATGCACAATCATCCTCTCAAAGTATTAGCCAGAGAGCTCTTCAAAATAGCAATTATTCAAAAATTGAAAACCAAGTTACATATTTCTTACCTCAAGCAGATTACCGATGTTCTTTCATTTATTTATAAGGTACTCTGGAAGCACCTTTTCACTCTAACAAGGAAGATGCTGGCAATCAGCAGAACACGGAGAAAGGCGTAGGTTAGCAGCTGTAAGTTACAGAACTATTTACCAGTACAGATCCATGCCTTTTTTTTTCTCTTGTTCCAGAGATTTTCATTACCAGAGAAAAACAATCTGAGCTGAACATCTGCACAAAGAGGAAGGGTCTTCAAGAAGTCTGTGAAATTGCTGTTTAACATTATAATGGAATCAACACTGAAGATGAAAAAAGAATACATACAGAAGCACAGGTGCTATTCTGGATGCTGTTTGCTTACAGGGGGTACCCGTTGGGAGTACGTCCCTTTTTTCTTTTTTAATGGATTCACATACATTCCTGAACTTAAGAGAAAATGGCTGCTGTCCAGATAGCCAATTCTGGATGCTGTACTATAGAAAATCTGTAGAACTATTCAATATATGCAGTACAAAACCTAAGACATAGTCTATACACAATGCTATATAGCAGGTTTTATAAAAAATAATAGGAAATCCGTTATTTTCAGCTATACTACCACTTCTTAGATACACACTAGAACAAGTGCCATTTTTTGCAGTGATAAAATTCTTTTACATCAGAGCTGGTGACAGTCAAATTGTTCACATGAACCAGATTCAAGTTACTGTGTTGAATTTTGAGAGTCCTGTGGAATTAGGCAAGTAGTCCCTTATATCCCAAGTAAATAATTTATTTCTTAACATGAGTCATGCATTATCTGTCTCTGAAGAGACCATTAGATCTGCAGTTCAAAGCCATTTTTCTGCTGGGAGTTCTTCATGAGCAATAAGCTGGTTTACAAATTCAACATCATAAACTAGCAAAGTGCAGGAGCAGCAGTGAACGTCCTCCACTCACTTTTTAAGATCCTCAGAAATCTTGATGTTGGGTGCAGCATATGGACAAGATGAACATAGAGAGTAGTCTCTTTATGTCTGCATCACTTTTAGTAGTTTAGAGAGAGGAGCATGGGATTAAAACACCTTTTAGAAAGTAGTCAAGATAAAATCATACCACTTTGAGAAAGACATGCACAGAAAAAAATAAAGGAAGAATACTGGCTGGTAACAAGCTCTGCCAGTTCTATGGGTGTACTAGAACATTAAAATCTGTAGAGGTTACTGGTAGCAGGACTGGAAGTCCACAGGGGCACTGACACATACATGCTGTGCATCTTCAATCACCAAAGGATGAAATGAAATCCAAGGAACTTAAAGTGTCTCTAGAACTGGTATTAAGTACAGCTTTTCTTAAGAATAGGTTCATTATAGTAATAATTTTCCGTATCTATAAATGCACTTACTGTAGTTACTTGCATACTGCAGGAAAGGACAGAACTTCACCTATAAATAGTTTAGAAAAGATGGATAGACTGTTTTTGAATATAAGAATGTTTTCTCTTCCTGTGTTAGCTTAATAGGATAGATGCCAATGCTTTTATGAATTATGAATGCAGCAGTCTTCTTTCCAAATGAAGATGTTGGAAGTCTGCCACTGGAATGAGGTGCTCATATTACATACTGCCAGCAAATTTCTGTTTCTTTAATGAAAACTAGATTACTAAATCACTTTCCTTTTGAAAAACATTACTCTTGCCTATAATGATGTTGCATAGCATGTTCTCCTCTAAAATAAAAGAGAAAAAAATAATCAGGCTAGAAAGCAATTTGAATCACGGTTCTAACAGGGAAATACATATGCTGCACCCCGATGTAAGCAGCTGTTTGTATACCACCTACCTTCCTCCTTCAATAAAACATAATTTGGTTTTATGACTGATCAGGCATATGTTACCAGTTCTATGCACATTTCCCCCCTCCCCCCTTCCTCAATGATTTTCTTTTTAGCTACCTGAAACAAAGTAAATCTTTAAGATAATTTAATCACCAACATTTTTAATGGCAATTTTGCTTGAAGAAACATTGCTCCCTACTTAGGAGCAGAATTTTGCACTTAAATATGATTCAATTTCTGTTTCATGAAGAATGTAGTAGCATTATGTAGAAGCATTATGTAAAATTTGGGGGTTTTTCCACTGAGTGGAAAACCCTAAGTCTCAAGAACACTTTTAGAAGAAGGGAAAGTATTAGTCTATGACTTTGGACAAATCTGGAGGTCAAATATTTAACATAAAAAAGGTTCAAAGAAAGCCAGTGAGGCTGCACTGCTTCTGCTGCACAGGTTACATAGCAGCCAATGGTGCCACAACTGCTCCTTGCCTGTGTATCAGCAAACTGAAACATTACTAACAAATTCCATGAAAACGTGTTTCATTTAATCATATGTACATATTACAATATATTATATATACACCTTCACATTTTGTGTTCACAAGCAACTGTTACCTTCTTCTGCTAACATCTAGAAGGATTTTGCAAAAGTATGTAAAACACTATTTGTCTCGGGTCATTTTAATTTAATCAGCAATCCTTTCTACCATTTCCAAATCTGAACTACATCTCAGATTTCGTGTGGTAGCATTGCAGGTTTCACGGTAGCAACTCAGATAAAAGGTATGAGTTTTCTTGAATAACAGCTCTCCCTCCGTTGTTTTTCTTTGCAGTAACTCAGTATATAGTATGAAGATTGTTAGTTCACACCAAGGGCTCATTTATAAGTGTATCCTCTAGCTTCCAATTTGCATGCACATTTATTTTATGTTATCTTACAGTTAAAAAACCTCAAAAACATAATAAAGAGTTATCAGAAGGTAAGTGCACAGAACAATAAATAGTACTGAAACCATGTAACTCAGAAAAACATCAAAAAAGGGAGAGAACAAAAAAGGAAAAAATAAAGCTGACATGATAACAAGCAGTGAAATTAAGTTTAAAAAAAAACTGTGGCAGAAGCTCTATGGGACTGTTAGCACCGAAATGTATTTTTTTAAAAAATCCTCAAACACAGAGTCACACTGTGTAACCCACCTGGTTATATTTTACAAATGGGCTGCCAAATCCAGTCAACTTTAGTGTTAGGCAGGCTTTGCAGCCATGAAAATTAATGGTAATACTCTCTATGACATTAATGAGAACAAAATTAGGCCATATAAGTACCTTCTGAGCTTTCCATAAGGCAAAATATCACTGCATTCCATTTTCTACTTTGCACTTCTGTGAGTTGATAGTATGATAGCATGATTAAGATATAAAGCTGGTAAATGCTTTAATTCAAATATTATTACAAACTAGAGAAGTCAGATAAAACCAGAGATTTTTTATTGCACAAAATAAATTATATAGAAACAATGCAACAAAACAACTCGTATTGTAGGCTGCACAACAGATGTTACAACATGAATATATTTATTGCTTTGAGAAAGGAGCAATTCAGTGCTAGTAAGCAGATTAGTTATACTTCTTGCTCATCTAGATTTTTCGTAAAATTAATCCAACTGGGCTAGAGGCATCTTGCAGCATACAAGTCAGACCAAATTGTCATTTGGTATCAGCTGTAATAAAGGTGCTGCGAACATTCTTGACATTAGCATGAAGCACTCAATTTAACATCACTGGTACTGAGCCATAAAGGTAGTTAATTAGAAATATCATTACGTATCAGATATGTTTATACACAAGACTCTAAAAGGTCCATTTACAGGATTTGCACGAGCTGTTGTTGTAAAATAAATCTGCTTACAAATGTAGATGCAGCTCTGAACAGGCACCCTTCACTCTACAACAAGAGGCAGGACCATGGGGTTTTGCCAAAAACCCCCTAGTACCAACACTTCCCTTACCAAATTGCACACTGGTGCTAACTCAGAGGCATCTCATTTTTTACAGGTCCACACTCGACTTCTAAGGATTTTAGCACAGATTTAAAAAACCATTACTTTGGTAGAACTGGGTGAAATTTACAGTGCTTTTTTAAATACTTCAAAACACAACATATTTGGTTCTTTGAAAGATACAAGACTGCAATACCAGTATTGCAGTCATAGCTCAAATCGATTGAAGTTTTTAAAATGTTACTTTCTGGACTCTGAGATGTTATCCTCCAATGAATTAATACAGAAATTAGCTTTTTACAAAAACTATCAAAATGGACAATATTCAAATAATAAAATACATCAAAACCTAATCACTTGCAGATCATTGTGAAGCATGTGTATTAATGAGATAGTGCCATTACAAGTGTTCATAGTCTGAGTGAAATTCTCCCTCAATTTGACAACTATGCAAGTATTTACTCAGCTGAGTTTGTAACACTGAATTCTACTGCTAGTGTACACACTCAGTGTTGCAAAACTTATTTACTAATGACTAGGTTAACATAATAAGACTAAATTTAAACAATATTATCCACCAGTGAAAGGAAATTCAGTGAGGAAGGGGGAAATCTGGGTTGTTTCAAGTTGTAGCTACAATGATAATTAAAGAAAGTAGCTCTACTGAGGTCAAACTGATGAGCTTAACTCAGCATCAAGCCCACAGAGTAGACCCCCGTAGAATCCCGTGGAAATAATTAAATACATTTTGGAATGTACACTAAAAACTACAAATAAATGAAGTCACCTCTCTCTACGGTATTTTAATAACATTCATTGCTTTACTGTTTGTTATTTTTTTTTTTTCCTGAAACTGTCTTAATCCACTATGTTGAATCAAAACACAGTTAAGAGTGAGGCTGCAAATAGTCACATTATAAGAAAGAGTTATTCTGAATTTAAAAAATACTATTTGTACAAAAGCTTAGAAACTTTAGTGATGCAATCGTGTTCCTTGTATGTACCCAGCAGTAGTTTCCTTTGGAGGAAAGTAAGTATTAAACTTTACTAATCTGGCATACTTTTTCATCTGGGAAACTGTTTTTTAAATACTGTATGCAAAATTCTGTCACCATTTTGTAAAAATGTTTGTAGGCATAAAAAAATACAAGTGAATAACCAAATATACCCTAAAACATCAATTAAAACACAAATATCACAAAAAAATTATTAGTATTTTTAATAATCATTATGAAGTAGAAATGCTATAAGGCAGGATGAGGCTAATGTCAAAGATGAAAAACAGCACCACCAGTCTATGTTTTTCAATCAGCTTTCTGATCAGATAGAAAATGTATTATCATAGTCAGATACAATTGATTAAATTAAGAAATGCATTTAGCCCAGCTGTACTAACTATACAACTTCACACAGAATAAACATTCCATAAATCAACAGAAAATGCATTTGAGCAAAAAAAAAAAAAGTGATTCTCTAAGCAGCATTTTGTTTTCTTTTTTTTCCAAAACATTAACATAGATAGATATTGGACTGATTAAATATCTACAAGTGCTTTTCCTTTACAAAAATACATATATTCTTAATAGTAGGATAGACTGTCATTAACAATGACCTGTGTTTTTTCACTTCAATTTGAATGATTTATAAGCTAAATTTTACAACCACAAAAAGGTTTATTTGTAATATGATGTTATCACTTTTGACAAAAAGCTTAAAACATTTTATATTTTAAAACAAATTAGCAACAAAACATCACAATATGTTCTATGAGCTCCTAAGTACTGTGAGGGCTGTTATATTAAAAACTGGTAACTACTGATCAAATGCAAGGAAGCATTGGAACATTATTACTGCTCACCATAGGCTCCTTTCTTATCATAACTTGGATCACAGCTTATATAAGGACACTTAGGCCCCCATCCCCCAAATAATCCATTGAGAGTAACTCTACATCATCCATTCAGTAGCCTGGAACGTCCAACAATTCAGGCTTTGCATTAATTTTAAAAAACGCAAAATATTTTCCTTTCAATAGTTAAGTCTGCAATAAGGGAAAAAATGATGCATTGCTTCATGTTTATTCTAAGAAGCTTGTACTTGAGGAAAAAAATATGATCAGTAAGTTTTTAGAATGAAATATTTCAGTCAGCTAAATAATTAAATTGTCCTATTACTTTCCAGTTTATTTAATCACTATCCTGGAAAAGGAAATCAAGATATTTGGATTTCTTTATTCTTTCTATTTTATTCTGCACAAGTAAAATAATCAACTTCTTGCTAATCAATGGTCTCATGTCAAGGACAGCAACGCCATTTGCTAAAAAAATATCTATAAAAATCTGTAAAACATACCTAATATCTTCTTATTCCTCAAAGTCTGTCTTTTCCACCCTCCAAAATATCACTGAACTACAACTAGAAAACCCAAAAGTAGCTTGGTGAATATTTTGTGCTTTGGAAGGTTTACAGGATTGACAGCACACTGAAGTTTTTTATTAGTTCACAGGCCAGGTATAGCAGACACATCAGTAATGCAAGCCTTTGTGCTTTTTTTCGGGAACATGAGCTATGACTCAAAGAGCTACTCTAGGTCCGTTAACTCAACCTTTATGCTACTCCTGTTGTTCTTTTCCTTTCCTACTTTGTTTTGGAAACTCCTAGGTGTGCCTAACCATTTAGCTTGGTGACACAGACAGCTACCACCAGTAAAGTTCTGCTTGACTGATTTCAGGTGTAACTCATGACCACTGCACTCCAGAAAGGTGTCAATGCCTTATTCCAAGTCAGTTTCTGGGTGGCTTTACCTTTGGTATTAAATAGGTCCCTTAAAACTATTAGGCAATCAGATTATCCATAAAAATAGTTTATTTTAAAAGAACTTTTTTAATGAACAAACTAAATATCTGACAACAAAGAGTTATTTGAAATCAATTAGTATGTGATATTTTTCAGTAAAAACAAAGCATGTTTCATTTTACTGCATCAAAATTCATAAGACAACAGCAACAATGTCTACTATAATCAATATAAATACAAAACAGATTTTTAGGGGTTAGAATAGCATCATAAAATATGTGCCTCGCACTTTGATAATAAACATCTTTATTACAACTTCATTTGTAATACAGACCTCAGTATGTTAACTAGCAGCACAAACGTTTTACTGTTGCAGCAATTTTGTATATTGTATAGCAAGCTACTCTCAACTCATACTTTGCTTTCCACTCACTATCATGAGGAAAAAGGAAATGCACACCTCATTCTGTTCACCTCATCCTGTCAACTGTCATGTTATTAACCTTGTTAGAAGCATTTGCTAAAACTACAAATAAAAGTTATTTCAAAGAAAAGTATGCCTAATGGTTCTGATAAACACGCAAGTCAAACTAATGCCTCTCTTTGGTTAAAATGAATGTAACGGCAAAAACTTCCACTTGTAGCCATCTTTCCAGAATGTCCCCTCCATTCTAAGCCTACAAACTGGATCTGTTTCTGCAAGTACAAAAGGTGGCCTGCACATTCCAACCCATCTATAGAGCTCCTCTGTTTCACTGCCACACTCCAGAACTGTACGGATCTAAATTACTCACTAGAGAATGAAACATCCTTACTCAGCTGTAGTAGCAAGCTACCCAAATTCAGAACATTTATGGCACATACCTAGGATGGAAGAATCTGTCAGGAATTCATTAATTAATCAATTTCCTATTCTGGAATCTAATGTTTTAATCTGATCTACAGACAGTATAGACAGCAGTTTAAAAAAAAAAAAAATCAACAGGTAGATCTGCTTATGAAGAAAAATATATTACCATAAGATCGTCTTTTGGAGGACATTCCTACAGAAGGATGTTTCAGCTGAGGTCTGAAGGCTGGACTACCCATATGTGATAAAACTAGTGGTAAATGAGCAGTTGGAAGCTTTTCACATTTCCTTTAGGGCAAATCAACCCACTTGTGTCTCGGATTTCATCCTGGAACATGCTCCAGCAGACTGCAATCCTTCCTCAAGTGTCTTTAGCTGAACACCCTGTTGAAGCATTACCTTGTTCAAACTGGCTATAAAGGATTCAAAATGTAGAACCATGAAAATTTTGCTGGAATCCATGAGAGCTGCCTGACAAAGGAAACCTATTGAGCTGATTCCTCATGTCCAATTTCTCCTTCATAGCTCTTCGATGTTTCTACTTGGGCATGAAATACGGTGGGATATGGGAATAGGCAAAATATGTTTAAGAACCTAGAATTAATTACAGGACAGAGGGTGCCTGAATAGACATTTTAAATGAGCTAAATAATAAAATAACATAGCATGAAGTAAAATCCTGAATGATATATACATTTTTGATGGAAGCAAACAGACGCCTTCAACCTGTATAAGTCAGGTGAAGAAACTGGACCATGATCTTGATTTAAGCACCTCTGTTCATATATTCATTGTGGATAGGCATGTAAGTCTTAACTGCCTTTGGTATTTTCTGGGATAAAAATGAGTTTGATCAGTCCATGTAATTGACCAGTATTTTATTATAGCCCCTCTAGAAACAGGGCTCAATCTGTTTCTTTTGAGACTTAGGACTGGCTTTGAACAACTATCTATTCTCTCGTATTTCTACCAGACATAGTATCTGGCTGAGGTGGATGCTATTCCTTATGTTGCAAGTCCTCCCAAGAGTATTTTTTCTGGGAAGTGAATGCCTCTCGGTGTCTTCAGTGATATGAAAATGTAAAAAACCCCACAAATGGAACAATACAACTCAGTGATTGGTTCAAATAGAAGACTAAACCCTGGACTATTTTGTTATTTTAGAAAACAGCAGAGAAGGAAAAATTGTTTACTTCTCTCACAAAGTCATGCCTAACAATTATATGTGGGAGAGATGAGTCTGGACCATTGCTTTGTCTGCAGTGGAGAACAAGAGCCTAGTTTACATTTAAAGGGAATGTGATCAATCTTTTTTCTCCTGCAGCTACACTGGAACAGTTTTTGATAACTGCAGAAGAGAAAAGTCCAATTATTGGAACCTATGGAGAAAAAAAGACCATGATCTAGAATTCAAGGGTTCCTCATGCAGAAAATGAAATAATTTGAATATAAAAGGTTTTTTCGATTTTAAATTATCTAACAGAACACATTTATTTTTCTGCTTGTTTCTCATGAAAGAAAGCTTCTCAGTATGGCATGTTTATGAAATATTGTTGCTGAAAATATTAAGAACATAGATAAAATACAGAAGCAAATATTACTCTGCCAAATGCAAATAATGGGCTTAAAAGGTATTCTGTGTTAATAATCAGGCACTTTGCTTTACATAACCTTTTCAGTAAAGTCAAATAATACTTTTTATATTTTTTTTTTTTGCATAAGAACTGCAAGCTAGCTGAGTATGCACAATATACGTATAGCATTGCATACTCCTAGGACCCAAATCCCAGAAGCTTTCATGTGAACAGTACCTACTATAGTGATGAGTCACTTAGATTACTATAGTAATCTCATTTGGTATTTCATCCAAATAAAAATATGTTTATAGGACTAGGCCCTTAGCTGCAAGCAGTGTAGTAATGCATGATAGAAGATACATTTCTTCATTAATAGTCTAATTCCATATTGTTTGAGGTATCAGAGGATCTCATTTGTAAATTCTAGCTTACAGTTTCTTACTAGACAAATGCAGCACACAGCTAAACTCAACAAAAAGTTGCTTATGTCTTTCATTAATGAGTTACCCCAGAGTTAAAAGCAGATACAAGTTTTTCACTTTTAGGGAAAGAAAAAAAAGCACCAAATGTTCCGAGAAAGAGACAGCATGGTTAGGTAGTAGTACAGAATATTTTAGGTCTTATTTCTCTGCAGCTAGGTACTGCCAATATGGGAAAGCCATAGAAACACAGTGGCAGCAACACTTATTTTATATTCCTAGTCTTTACAAACATGCAGTGGTGACGCTTTGTCATGAAAATGCTCAGAAAGTGTGACTGTATACAGTCATCTGCTCTAGGATGGCGTGTGGTGCAGTTTTAATGGAATGCTTAGGTACTTATTTCACTTTACCCATCTTTGGCACACAGGAATCTGTACACGCATCCTCATATTCCTATGCTGTTCTTATGTTCTTAATTGGCACAAATGAATTAAATTTGCATATCTGTAAACACATGGCACATACACACTAAACAACAGAGAAATTTCCAGTAAAGAAGGCAATGCCTGTGTTATACAAGCTGCCCAGTTAAGATATGTATTTCACTGGCACTTCACTGCTACAAAATATTAAACTATAACAGCACTCAGGCACTGTGCCATCAAATCAGAGATGCATAAAGTGTAGGTGGCTAGATTGTATGCGTTTAATGCCATGACTCTCATCTGGGAACATTAAATCATATCTGTCAGTATTTTCCATGCTTAAAATGAAGATTTGCCTTCTGTAATCTATCTTTAAATTGCATCAAGAAAATACCATGAATTAAACTGATGTCCAATTCTAATCAAGAGAATTCATAGTTCTCTGAATTGTGAATGTAGAAAGTCATTAACAGTCAAATCTTCTGTTAGTTGCCATTTAGAAGCCAACACAAAGTAGTCCTATTTCAGGGGCCCAGTTAGATGGATGCAAACTTCTGTGTAAGATAACTTGAAATGGATTAAAAATAATGTGTTCTTCTCTTTTTAAAATAAGTCTGTTCAGATTTGTCAAAAACGTGCAATTGTTGAGAAAAAAATTGTCCCCTGAACCAAGCAGAAAGTATGCTTAAGAGTACTACCATTACTACTGCAAGTAATTGAAACAGGTGTTCTGCGTCAAGTGAATCTGTGGTGAAAATTCTGATATAAAAACACGTGAAATATATAAAAACTGTAAGGTGTCATTTGTATGTGCATGTAAGTATTTACAAATAATACCTTATTTCTACCATACAAAACAACTGTATATACTAAAGAGAAGAATGATTTGCAATTAGAATGCACGCTCTGCTCTTCCAAGCTGCTCCATGAGGAGGACCTCTATATACACAAAGAACCTATTTTTCCCTAGAGACTCTGCAGAGGAGAATAGCCTCCCAAATGGAGTATCCTATTGTTTCTGTCAAGTAGCACATCATAGACTGGGTGGGCAAAAAGATGACTGCTTCCTGCAGCCAGCATGTGCACCCTTCCCATCTACGGTGTGGGTAAGCCAGTACCTGTATCAGTGAGCACACTATGCCTGCAGAAAGGAGCAGCAGCTTCCTGAATGTTTTGCTTCCCCAGGTTCACTGGCATCTGCACAATATGTGCAACCTTGACCTGCAATGGCAGGTTTCCTAAACAGACTGCTACCGACAGCATCTTTATTTCTGCATGTCATATGGGCTTTGGAGTGCAATGGTAGAATTCAACCCAACTATATATGGATTCCTCAAATCATCAATGTTAGAACTCCTATGAACATTAAAGGGGCCAGATTTAATCCACAACATGCTTATTTCTCCTACAGAAACATACTAATACACATGAACATAAATTTACAAAGGAACTACAGCCTTGCATCTATCTTCTATACTTGATCCCAAGATAGATTTTTCACTTTGTCCTATCTAAGAATGATTACTTCACTCTATAGTAGCTTCTGAAAAATCGATTTGGTTCCTTTTTGCTGTATGCAAAAGGCATGAGAAAGTAAATAGTAATCTACAATACTAGCAGGTGTGTATGAAGTAGAAATTACACAAAGGTACTGAACTATAAGTATCTCCACATAATTTGAAGTGAAAAACTCAACTGACTTTTAAGCAGAGCAAAGACAACAGAAGACTAAAGAAAACATACACATTACTATGCTCCCTGCAACATTACCGGAAACCCCAATAAACATTCTATACTAGAACCATTACGGTTGCAATACCTAAGGCAACAATCACTTTTTATCCAGCACTACCAGGTCTTAGAAAAAAAATTACCTGAACAATTATTTTGGTCAGACTGCTTATCTTCAGTATTGCGTTACCTCTAATTTTATGGAAATAGTTTTATGATGTGACTTTAACTAATGGAAATTTCTGTAATGAATTCTAAACTCCAGAGAGACACAAGAGATATATAATGTAATTAAAGCTATGTATTATTTTTGTCTTAGCATATTATATACCTGCAACCAATCTTAAAAGGAAATTTTTACTATGAAAGGCAATAATTATGTAAAATTTTTCCTTGTTTGTAATCTTATAGTGAAATTTATTTGTCCCATAGACATTTACATTATTTTAAACTTCATTTTTATGGAGGCATTATTAGAAGAAATGTAATCTGACCAGAAGCCATTGTCCAAAAATAGCTAGTATCCCAAATTCCAATCTTTAGGGAAACCATAGAAAAGTGCAATCACAAAGGCTGCGATGCTTTTAAGCAATATTAGCAGAATCTATTTAGGAGATTTAAAATTACTGTTTTGAATTACCATGTTCTACATCTCTTGTTAAGGGTAAATAATCTTCATTCACTGCAAAAGGACTGTTGCACACTCATGAGTGAGCTATACCTGGACCCATGAGAAGCTTATCAAGAAAAAGGTAGTGGACCAATCACCACTTTTCTAAATATATTTTCTATACAAAATATTTTCAAGGTATAATCCTTAGTTATTTGTACAGTACTCTATGATTTCAACAACAATATTCAGTAAAATAGTAAGTGTGTGAAACTGCAACACCACATGGAATGAGCACGTTGCCATTTTGCTAGTGTAATCAATATTAGGACCAGAAAAATTTTTTAACACGCAAGCAAAAATATTCCATAGTTTTTGAATCTTGAATGTACACTTCATGATTTTGGCTATGATTTACAGCACACTCGTAAGATACACATTTCAGTAGCAGAATGGCACTTGGCTTGCTCTAATAGAAACAACAGAGATGCAACTGATGATTTTAAGAAAGACAATGTCCTTATTTGCATGCTGAAAATCTGGTTGTGTCCCCCTAATCCAGGCACATCCATTCATTGTGCAATCTGTCGATGGGTAAACAAATAGTGCAGGATTCATCTCAGTGGGATCTGGCCCTTTGGTCTAACCGAAGTCAATTCTAGGTCGATACTGAAGTACCATAGGGTAAGACTAAAAACAAATGCAAGAGGAAAACAACAACAAAAACAGACAAGAAAACATGAAAATATAATACATAAAACCCCCAAAGAAAATGCAATTAAAGATTGCCTTAATAATAACCAGAGCTTATCCCTAACACATGTAAATGACAATCAGTTTTATTTATATGAAATAATTCTATACATTTCAACAGTTAATCTATACCTGTACTTCAAATTTATATTTAATCTCTAAGTCAGTCAGTTGTAGTTATTTGCCATTAATATAAAATTCCTATATCTGCTTTTGTATATTTCATGGTTTATGTTTTACAACATATATAACTTTGAGTGCTCAAACAATGCCACTTATTTCTGTGTCGCCGTGTTTCAGAAAAAGCAATCTTGAAATTTTATACTTTCTAAACCAAAGTCTATTTACAGATGATGTACTTTCTTTGATTTTTATATACACAGAGGTTCCATAGATATACTAGTAGTCAGATAATGGAAGCCAGGTTACTCTGGTATTAAAAAGACCCCCCCCCAAAAAAAGAAAATCAGGTGAAATTGATGCCAGCTGATTTTCTCAGAGATAAGGTCTAACTTCTCCCCCAAATCCAAACTCCTTAACTTCCGACCTAGTGATACATTTTTATTAGTTCCTACTGGGAAAAAAAAAAAAAAAAAAAAGGCAGATCAACTGCTTGGATCCCTGTTACAGGATGTGAGCCAAGAGTGGATGGGTTTCCAGAAAGTGCTGTGGAATACCTAGGCACTAGTTGCTGGAAGGGCTGTTTTACTAAATGTCTTATTTTTTTTCAGTCTGCCAGCATTTCTTTTAAATCTGATGTTTTCCTCTTAACTTCATTAGGATACCGGACATTTTCTACAGCATAAAACCCAGGAAAATCTTACTGTCTCAGCAACTGTATGAGTTTAACTACCTCTCTGCCACAGGACACAGGAACATAGCTAATTTAGGTATTTTTTTATTGTAAATTTGGAAATATAAAGAATTTTTTCAGAAGCTATCATTAAACCCAGAAATATCTTACTGCATCCTTCAAATGAAATACAGATGAACTTCAGTGACCAAAAAAGATATCACTGCAAAGACCTATACAGGTTAATAAACCTTACATGCCATGGTAATGAAATGATCACCAGAACTAAATGTGATCCTACTTGCTGGGAATTTACAAACTGGGGTGCAGAGTTATCACAACATAAACCCAGAGGTATTCAACAGTAGCAAAAGCATTTAGGAGAGAAGACAGGGAACACACCATCTGTAGTCTGCATTTACAATTAAGAAACATATATTTGTAGTATCATAAATTACTTGGTCTCTGATTTTTTTTTTTTTTTTTTTTTTGCATATGATATGACTACCGTATTATTTAAATGCTATTTCACGTGTTTTTCACTTTGGTTATATAAATTGTCTCTTAAAGTACTCGACTCTAATTGGAAGTGCACACAGGCAGTCAGCGCACTGAAATTGCCATATAAACCAGAGAGGTTCAGTGTTTTTACAAACAAAATTACAAGGCAACTGTACAAATAAAATGCACTATGATGGAAAAATTCTAACTATTCAGGTAGGCCTGACTGCAGTAGATCACTCCCATCCATAGTGGGGAGTGTCCCTCTATCATTAACTTTTACTTCTTTGCTCAAGAAAAAATATTATTTCAAACATCCAAAATAACTTGTAGAAATCAGTTCAAATCAAAATTCTCAATGAGGAAACTGAAATATTGTTTCATATAGGTATGAACCAGATTGATCAATGAAATTTGGAAATCAACTTCAGTTTGCAGGTTCTGGAGGTTTTGGTTTGTTATATTCTAGAGATAAGGCACTATTGCACTTCTGATTTTAAAAGAGGTGGAAGAAATACAGTATTAGAAAATTCTAACATTTATTTATGCCATTAAAAAGAACATATGAATTGTCATAAAGAGATTAAACCAACGTAGTCTCTTTTGATTCACACACTTCAGTTTTGGATCCCTTGTCAGTGACTTGCCCAATGTTACTAGGTAGAAGGATGAGATAGGCAGAGGTACATTATCCTTCCAGACTGGTTTGGGTATCAGCCTAGAGAATGATATCTCTCTAACAAAAAGATAAATTGCTTAATGTAAAGTAAAAGAAACCTTTAAGCCTTTTAAATGGATTCTATTTATTAATTCAATAAAGCTTTCTCTGAAGGAAATAAAACACCCAGGCCTTGCTCACAAAGCTTTAGCACTTTGTAGCGAGGAATTATAAAAACTCCACAACTTGGATTACAACTGAAGTACTGACAGGACCTTAATGACTGTAGTATGTACAGTCGTGAGTGCCTCTTACCTGAAAAAAAGTGCCATCCTGTGAGCAGACTTGCGAAGATGAGCAGTTCTGACACCGAAACTGCGAAGGAGATGATTTTCTGATCAGATAAGAGGCATCCACAGCTGGACATATACATTTACCATTTAACGTTTGTTTTTGTTTTTGTTTTTTAATTTTCAAATGTCAAGTTGAAATTTAATTCACTTATTTAAAACGTGAAAAAATTCTCTAATGAATAAATGGGTATCTTTCCTTTACTGCTCTTCCTCTTGTAAGGTCCACAGGTGTGCCAGTAAAAGCTCATGGTGAATAGTACCAAAGATGGAGATAATGGATTTACTTGATCTTTCTTCATCCCAAAGAAGAGATTGTTAATTAATTACCATCACAACTTCTGTTTTATAACAAGACCCAATACAGTTAAGGAAAACAAAATCATGGAAGCCTAGATGTTACTGGATTTATTACCAGCATAATGTAATTTTTACAGGTTTTCGTTTGTCATCTTCAGGGGAATGATTTAAAACTACATAAAGGAAAAGATGAACACATACCTGACTATACTATGTGTATGTAAACACAACTTATTAATTTAATCAACATTTGTCAACTCTTATATTCACTTAACATTAAAAAACATAGTTCTGAGACTTTTGAAAAAAAGTAACCATTACAAATAATGTCCTGTTTGTCAAGATGATAGTTACTGTTGCTTCCAAACCAATGCAACTGCCAAAAGTCCATTTGTAGGCAGGGGCTGCAGGATTAAACGTCATGAAAGAATTCCGTTATCACTGAAGTTGTTGCCTCAACACTTTCTAATAGTACAGCCAATGCTAGCAAAAATGTAAGATGGCAAGCCAAACAAACACCCACTGGTTTCAAGGCAGTATTGGAAAAAAATACTACTGAAAGCTCCCTAACTGGTGCAATATTGGGGTTTCAGCAATCATCAAATTTCAGTGCAATATTACTTTCAAATTTAATCAATACTTGCCTATATACATTAACCCCCCTAATTCTTATAAAAATATATCCTTCCCCCTTCAGATTAAGGTAAAACTTTAAGAAACTTGTGAATTGTTAACCCCACAGTGCTTAATCCTGTCTTCTCTGCCCATGCCCAGTGCTTTTTATTCTGAGTACTAGGAAGCTTAAAAAAAAAAAAAAAGAAAAAAGAAAAAAAAAAAGAGTACAGAAAGTTTGGAATTTTCTACAGATCAGTACATTAACATATGTTAAGTGCTTAACCTTAGCTGCACTCTAATATAGCCTCCTCTGGTAGTAATAGACAACAAATCTGCATATACTACAAAGCAACAGAGTGAAGAACAATCAATAGCCACACACAAATGAATGTATAAAAGAAAGAAAAGAAATGGGGATATGACTTCTAACAAAAAAAAAAAAAATACAATGCAATATAAGGGTTACTACATCAAACTGAATATCAAACCTGAAAGAAACGTCTTTTAATAAATTAAATACTGCAATTCTACAATATACACATGCAGCAAGGAAAACCCATTTAGCTTATCTGGATGTTAGTGGTATAGAGCATATCTAAAAAAAAATGAGTGTAGTATTAACAGAAGCAGTAATAAAACAGATTTCGCCAATAATTTCTCAGTGTCACTTTAAGTTTACTGACTAAATAAAACATATTCTTAATAAAGAACTGCTGGATGCAGTTGCCCCAACTATTGTAACTCAAAAGGTCACTAAAAGCAAATTTGCAGAAAAAGAACAAGTGCTTGTGTTTTCTGATACCTGACTTAAAACTCAGAGCAGAACTTGCATGTAAACTTTGTATACCTGCTATTTTTAAGTTTCAGAATCTACACAACATATGTGCTGCAGGGTTTCACTCAAGGAGTTTAACATAGGAAATCTAGAAAACATGAAAAATTCATTTTTAAATAGGAGGTTTTTGAAGGGTCACAGAATACATTTTGGACCAAGCAGTGAAAGTTTCTATACTCTCTATAACAAATATACCCCAAAATATAATTTATTAATAATTTAACAGCATTTACGTTTTCGCCTCTTAGTCTCCATCTTGTCATATAGATGAATTCCATAGTATGATCCTTCCCCATGATTTCTCCATTGCATAGTACATCCAGCTTAAAATACAACAGAACAAACAGTAAGACAAAGGTATGAAAAATTTTCAGGTCTAAATGAACTCCTAAGTGAATGTCTGAGAGTTAATCCCTCAATTCCTACCATTATTATACAATAATTCCATCAGACATATATCAAACCTGGATAAATACAACATGCTGACGATATGCTATTTTGTACAATAGTATTCTAGTTTATTTTTTCACTTTTGTGTTTTCAATTAAGATGCAGACAGAAGAAAGTCTGCTAAACTAGGTAGGAAATCAATAGTAGACAAATACTCCCTGTATTTATCAATACCACACAGTACCCGCTTGAAGAGAAAGCCTTGTGCTGGATTTTGAATGCCACCTTGCTATCTCAATGCTCTTTCAAACCCAAAGATACAAAGCAGAATCACCATAATTTTCATTTTTAACAAATAAATGATAAATAAAAAAAAATTAAAATAACTATACATTACAAGGAAAATACACTTCTGAGTATACAAACATGGTTCTTCATTAACTGAAGGCAAAAGAAAAAGTAATGATCTTACTGTCAAAAATGACTGGTTTAAAGTGTAGTATAGCATCTTACTTCTACCCTTCACTGAAAATGTTTAACAACTTTTTCATTACAATAGCCATAATGCTTTTCTGGTTTTTAAAGAAAAAAGATGTCAGAATTTTGAAGTAAGAAGATACTATGTAACACGAGACATTAAGGTGCCAGAGACAGATTAAATTAACATAATTAACAAAACCAAATGACATCAAAATGGCTGGTCAGCATGTCACCATACTGGGACAAACTCATGTGTATAGCTCTGCAATAACCTGTGCACCTAACCCAGCTCAGCCGTACCTCTGACCAAAGCCGGGACGCTGCCGTTTCTGCTAAAGGCAGCATGCAGTTCGTGGAGTCATTGACTCCTGTAAGAGAACTGGCTGAAGAAATAGTCTGAGGTCAAAATTCCTGTATCCCTGGGAAGAGGGGAAGCAGAGGCAGGAGTCTCACACTTCCCAGCTCTACCCTGCATCATAATTTTCACCATATTAGGAGATGTGTTGGCACAGCCTTGGCCAAGGTCATAGCACTCATGCAGTGAAGACCTTCTCTTTATCAAATTCCACCTAATTCCAGAGAAGGTATGAAAAAAATATCTGCATTTTGAAAGATTCAAATGGTATTGCTCCTCATTTCTTCATAATTACTGGATAGTTTCTTATATCTAAAGAAAATTAAACTGCACAGTAATTTGGTGTATATTTAGTCGAGCTCTCCTTTTCCCCGGTAGCTACTAGCCCAAAACTGTATTAAGTGACTATTTTGTTAGCCAGATGGAAAGAGAAAACATTTGCTTTTTACCTAAAAATATCAATAACTAATGTATCTGTTCCTTCACAGGTGAGCAACAGACTAAAGTTACTAGAATTGAAGGAGTTCCTTGATTAACAACTTTAGTCACTGTGATAAAATGATCACTTCTCATTTGAGGGCAGAAAATATAACTTGGAATATTGAACAGTTCTTAGCAATTGGGCTAAAAAAATATTCCTCAAGTTCAAAATATGATTCAATTTCATAAAACCCGAATACTTTGCAGGGAAATAAACATACAAGCGTTGTTCTTTCAAATGTACCTCGTAAGAACTTGGAAGTTTTAATTTTAAGCTGAGAAACTTTTTGATAGTTCCCACGGTCACTCGAGTAGAACAGCGGATAAATTTCTTCATTAAACCCTAAAGTAACATCAATAAAACAGAAAAACCATGTTAGAATTTTTGGAGCATGTAAGAAATCTTTAGTGCAAGAACAGCTGTAACTGATAATTTTTTCAACCAGTAACCAATTTTACTGCACTCTCTTCTAGTTCATAATGGCACCATAGGTTAATTTTTTTTCACTGTTTTGTAAAATTTACAAGATGACGAAGAAGTTCATCTGACCCATCTCTGGTTCTAAAGAAATTTCCAAAAGATGTAGAAGTGAGGAAAACAAAAAAACCCCAACAACCTACCAAAAACACCAAAAGTCCCAGTATAACTTAAATAATCTAAGTGTTCGTGCTATTAACACTGGGGGTCAAACAGATGTTACCTTTCTCAGAATCTCTTCAGTCCTTCAGAGAAAAAGTAAAAACATCCTCAAATAATCTAGGGAAAAATACAGGGAAGCTACAAACCCGAGATGTGATCTATTACCACAGATTCTATGATCCAGAACCTAATAGTTTTGATTAAACAGGAAAGCTGGGAACCTGAGTCTCCTACATGGTGATGGAAATAGAGATTTCTTACTATGTACAGCATAAACAGTGATAAGACATATGTATGTTTTCTTGCTGAATCAAAACTCTCTTACTATGTAAGAACTTCCAAAATTACACATGTAACACCATGCAGAAAATATAAGTAGTGTTTTATTAGAAAAATTCTTAATATTTTTTTAATTCTTGTTTTTGCAATTTAAGAAAACATTATTAAAATCTAAGAATTTCTAAACACTTTCTTCTAGACTCAATACGTTAGGTAATATTCCCTTGAGGAACAGAACCCAAATATCCCTAATTCTTAAAGCAGGTGTTAGCATGTACTACTCTACACATTTTACAGATGGAAGTGACCTGCGTAAGGCCACAGACGACACATGAGTGTTAGATTCATGTTTACAGCTCAGAAGATCTGGATCCCAGTTGTTCAGTGCACAACGTATCTGAAAAACAGCTTCATGCTGGCATGGTATGACATCAGTCCTGAAAGTGTGAGGCAGCTCACCTACAATTAACTTTTTAAGTATCGCTGTGGTAAAATGTAATCTGTTGTGCGATGCAGTTATATACCATCAAGGCTGTAGACACCAAAACTATAATCCATAAAAAAAAAAAAAAAAAATAAAAAAATCCACTGTCACACATGGATTTCTGTATGGAATTGTATTTTATATAAAATTCCAAGATGCATTGAAATGCCTCAAACAAAAGGACTAAATAAGCATGGAAGTGGAGACAGGTCATCACATTAAAGTTTACTGTTAATGTTATAAAATGATTTGGTTCCTGTAAGATGCTATTCTGCCAACAGTAACAGCAGCACAGATTATCTCTACTACTCACTTTGACTACATTATCTCCTGACTGCCCATTGTTGCGTAAACAGTCAAGGCAAATAGCAATCTGTGGGTCACTCCTGTGATAGTCTTTATCTTCTTCATTTTCATCACACTCCTCATCAACTTTGGGTTTATCAGCTTTTGGGCTTTCATCTGTAAAATATGAAGATCATATTATTTAAGTGTAAAATCATTAAAAGTCACATAGCAACAAACGCATATTTAAAGTAATACTTCATTTTTAAGGGCATTTTTTTTTTCAAATTAACTGTATACAATTTTAATTCAGTGCATTCTTAAATTGAACAATTTACAAATCTCTGAAAACGAAGTTTTACTATTGAAATTTTTATGTAATATGCAAACAACAGATTTCTGTGTGACAGAACATGATTAGGCTGATGGACCACTAATGGTTATGGCTGTCTACTTCTGTTTGTGTCCAGTGATTAAAATCCTGAAACTGTGCATGCATCAAGATCACTCAACCATGCAAACCTACTCTATGGTGTGGCAGCTCACTGCCAAAAAATACTGATTTTAAATAAACAGTGGAATAACTAATCCCAACACTTGTATATCAAAGTAACATGGGTAATCAATTCATATTAACTGTCTGCCTCAATAACCCACTGAAGACAAGTTCCTGAAATGTTATCATGAAGTGAAGTAAGGGAAGATAAAACTTAACTTTCATCCAGTTTTGACCTGGTCTAAGTAATGTCATTGTAAAACCTCCAGGTGTCTCTCCCTAGAAGGGTTTTATAACTAAATAGCCATATACTTACTTATTCCCCTTTAAAAACAAAAAATGTAAGAAAAGAAGAATGGTCCCCATAAGTTTTGTCAGAGCACATATATCCTATATAATGATATATACCATGTTATCCCTCTTCACCGATGCTGTTACATGTTCTGTTGATTCCTGCTTTAAAAATCTAACTATTTGGAAAAGGTATCATCTCCTACAGTTTTCATAGGTTTAGCATAGGTGAACACTCAAATGCTAAGACTAGCAAGTATATCTAGATAATGTAATGTATATATGTAAATAATAACCATACAATGAACCATAAAATGGAGTAATTTTTACAGATTTGGAATACAGTATACAATAACCCTATTATATGCATTTGGGTTTTTTTCTGTATCTCCAACTTATTTATTTTGATTTAAAACAAAGGCTGCTCTCTGTTGGAATTAAACATTATCACAAGTAACTTGAATAAGCTATTTTTGCATTTCCTGAAAAAGTTTCAGGACCAATTCTGCTGCTTTCTTACACTTACTACAAACTTTTAAAGTAATTTAGAAGAGTTAAGATGAGAAGACAGAACAAAAGCTTTAATAAATATCAAGCTATGCCTAAGTTTCTAGACACAGTAATTAGGCTCATTTTGTTCAGTTTACATATTCAAGATGAGTTTTAAGCTATATTTGTTACTTTTCTTTCTTATAATTTTGAAGTATTTTATAAATACAAAAAAAATCTGTCCAGAAGTCCCTACTAGCTATTGACACATTTAATTGAATGTGTACTATACATACATTTTGTTCCTATCATCTTGCTATGAACAGAATTTACATAATCAGACTACAGTTTGGTTTTTTTTTTTTGTTTTTGTTTTTGTTTTTTTTTTTGTGAAAGTCCAGGAACCAAACTCTTTTCATGAAGCAGGTGAAGTCTACCTGTCACAAGCATTTGTCTGAGGACCCCACCTATGATTCACAGATTCTTTGGCAATGCAAACACACCCACAACTTCCAAAAGTTATCACTGCTGAGTAATGAAGGAAAATTTAGTTATGCAGCTTGAAAAGTCTTGAAAGGCAAATCAACTACAAAACTAGGGAACTTAGCAAATTTCCAATCATAAAATCATTCCAGAAGCAGGTATGCACACAAAGAAGAGTGCATCTTTCAAAGTAGATAGAAATTCAAATGCTCCTCCATGTAAATGGCACCACACTATTTACTAAAAAATCCTTGTAGATATTAGAATTAATGGTGTTTGTACAGGTAGCCTCCAGAAATCAATGTGATGGTCCATTAGAGGCATGTTATTAATATGATTATGATGATGATAACAATAACATTAATAATAAATATTAATATGAAGTTTAAAAATAAAAAAAAATTTAAAAGAAATTTTCATCTCACCAAAATGGACTCGGTGTTCTCCAAGTCAAAAGCATCAAGCCAGTTAAAACAAACCGACACCCCACTCAACTCCACCCCTCTTTCCTCAAGGCATAAACTGGTGTCTCATTTTTTTTCCTTCTTGCAAACCTTGGAATTTTTCAACATCCTGTGCTTTTCTCAGATATTCAACGTAAAAGTGATCACCAGAGAATGATTCAACATAAAGCTGTTTGCCCTCTTCCTTCTCCAGATCAGACTGGAGAAGACCAATAAAGATTTTTTTCTCTGTATGTTTCCTATCATCATCATCATCCCATCATCATCCATCAATTCTCTCTAGTAACCACTCTCCTAGTGGAGCCACCAATGCCTGAGATATCATTTGTTGTTTGAGCTTTCTTTCTTCTGATATGTGAAAATTTAAAGTCCTGGGGTGTTTTTCCAGGTCTTAGATGCTAGGGTTGGGATCTGTGTTGTGACCTGTGGTACAGGACATAACCAATGTACTCTCTTAAACTAGACTGACTATGTGATTGGAGGGCATGGTATTGACAACTGAAACAGTCCCTTCTTAGTAAAATTATTCTCACCAAATAATTAATTCTCAGGCAAGATTCTAATTGCTTGTTTATAGCAGAAAATAGTTTAAATGCCCATAATTTGTCTCAATGAGTTGTCATGACTTTCAAATTGTTTATAGAGCCAAATTTCCATAGCCCAAGGGTACAGCCACCAGCAGGGCTGCATAGATCTGTAGCTACTTAAAAGTGTATTTTGAGAGTTAGAGCCTTCCTCTGATTCACAAAACAATCCAATCACTCATTATTCTTAGCAACTGATCGCCACTAGGTTTGCCACTAAATTATGGGAAGAAGGCAAGAACCAGAAAAATAAATCGGTTAAAAGTAAATCGCATTCTACAAATTTGCAAATTATGTTATTTCTTTCTATGTATAAAACTGAAAATTGTTTTCTAAACAGTCAACAGATGTCTGTATTTCAAAAAAATATTTTCTAAGTATTTTTAAAACTGAATAAGTATATACTACACAGTATGTTGTAGTAAACTAATACAATTTCGCTTAACTGTCCTACAGTTGTTTAATTATACTAGAGAAAAGAACCTTGTCCCTTGTAATGGATGCCAAATGCAAATCAACAAAACTAGTGAAGAAAAAAAATGAAATGTTATGAAGCTGAAAAGAAGATATTATAAACAACTGAGTGCAGAAGAGTATTGCAAGACATTTACTTGACAGGATCCTTTACTAAAAACAGCTATCGCTTCAGCTTAGCAGAGCCTTTCAAAGGTTCTTAAAAATGCCCAAATCAAATAGGCTATGGTATCAAAAACTTGATGTCAAATTAAAGGGGCATAAAAACAGTCTGATGTAGTCCTCACTTAGCACCTCAATACTGAGCTCTCACAGTTCATGGGTCAACTACAAAAAAAAAAAAGAAAGAAAAAAAGATAAAAAAGATAAAGCGTTTTTGAATCTATGTAAAACAATTGTTTAGCATGTGTGGAAAACTGTTTTACTACTTATCATAACTAATTCTTGACAACCTCCTACTTAACAGCTGGTCAAATTCAGCAACAGAAAATAATCTGTAAAAAAGTCAAGTAGTTGTGCATCTTGTTGTATTAAGAAAATTAAGAATTCAACTGGAAAATTGCATGAGTGTTGAACGGGAGATCTTAGGGAAACACAAATAAAAAAAAAAAGGTAAAACAGCTAGTGTTGGTAAAACAACTTGTTAATAGATAAGCAGCAGTATAAAGTGGCCCAGACTACACATATTTGTTACGAGTTTCTGTATGAGCAATGTTAGTTAACACACAAAGAGGAAAAAAAATTATCACCTTGTCCATTTTCTTGAGGTTTGTTTTTCTTCCAAAATTCGATCTCTCGCTGCAGTTCCTCTAGTTAACATCAGAGAACAATCATGTGAATTTTTAAATCAATACTACAGATATACCATTAGAAATAGCCATATTCCCTCCAAAAACCCAAACAGGCAGCCAAAACCAAATGAGAAACTTACGTTCTCGAAGTCCAGGCACCAGCTTAAATATAATTTCCTCTAAGGTGTTATCCAGCCTTTCAAAGGGAAAAAATACATTTCATGTTAAGTAGAAACTAGCATTTTAAGTATTTTTAGCCTCTAAATAACAAAAACTTTTGAATAATAAAATTAATTGCATATTTCTGGTAAGTAATACATCCTGCAAAACCCAGTTGATTTTAGCTTGAGAGACAACATGCATTAAATCTTCTCTCAATCACCTCTTGAATGGATTTCTTTTAGAAATAACCAAGGAATTTATTTTTTTAATGTATAAATACAAAAATTAAGCAAAAGAGAAAATGCATGATACTCTAAAATTTTCATTGTTTTATGCTGCATGCAAACAATTGTGTTACTAAAGAAACAAGCTGTAAAAGCAGTATCCAATCTTAAGGTCCAGGTCATGACTACTAAGCATGAAAATTATAAACTCCATTATCATATTAAATATTCAGGTGCTTCAGTGATAAGGCTGTTATGAAAAACTGAACAGAATATTCCTTACTCATTACAACACTGACAAACCAGTCTTGGCAGGACAGAGAAGACCACAGAGCATCCATGCTGCTCTGGCTAGACAGTTCTCAGTACCCAACATAGTTCATTTATACTATTTAAATCTGCTATGAGTTTGTCTACCAGATGACAATACACAGTACAGGCACGTCCTCTGATACCCTAGTATTAGTGCCAGAAATAGCTATTACAGTCCCTTCCAGAGGACACAGTGCATTTACCTTTGTTGCTGAAGTGAAAATATTTTTTTTCCCTTTTCTCTGAATTTTACCTACTCTCCTATCCATTTAATTTAGCAACAGCTTTCTAGTTGCACTTCCTTTCCCTATCTCGCTTATCCTTTGGCTTCCTCTCTCTCACATTCTTTTTCCTTTTACTTTCTTCCCTTTGCTCTCTACATCTTGTCCTGCGAAGAGTAATTCTCACTGCCCATAGCCTAAACAAAAACCCATGACAAAACAAAGTACTAAGAAATATGGATAGAGAAATGAAGTACTTTGAGATTCAGTCAGAAGCTACAATACCATAAATGCCTTTGGAATATTTTTAATTGCCTTATTTTTTCATCTCAATATTGATATATCTCTCTAGACATATGTATATATTTGCATGTATACATACATGTATGTGTACATGCTATTAATGATACACTGTAGGTCTGTTATAAAACATATGACTGTTCTCTGTCTTTTGTTCACTAGCAGCAGGAAAGTAAGAAGATGACAATGATTTTATTGTCGAGGAATGCCTAAAAGCTATTTTAATAGATAACAATTACCTTCTTATAGTAAATACATGAGCATTCCAGGTTCTCTTCTTCACAGAATTTGTATTCGTAATTGAAAGTTTACAGTTAGACCTATTACCCGATCATCTTGTTCTGCGACTAGTTCCCTATGTTATCTGTCAGTTCATGGAGACGGTCATACCATAAGAATACTCAAGTTTAAGGCAAAACCACAATCCATTTTGTAATTGCTGCTTCTTATAAGGACCAAAAATAAAAAAATCTTCAGCAAGTGAAAGAGACCTCCCCTAAAACAAAGAAGCATAGAGAGTACTTTCTCACAGATAAGAAGGAAATAAAAATCATGGGATGTCTGAGCACTTAGCTTCTGATAGATGACAATATAGGTCTACCTTTCCAACTGGTATGTTATTTCTTCTAGCCTCTCCTATCAATATCTAATGAAACTATACAGTACTGCTTTCTATGAAGTTCCCACAGCAGAAACTTGGGAACCTGTCTCGGAGATGGTATTCATTTCACATTGCTCCAATCTTGATCACCAATCAATTGTTCCACATTTCACAAAGCTCCAATCTTCATAACTTGCTTATTAAGAGAAAAGAAATAAGAACTTAAAAAGAAAACATCACTACCTTAATTCAAATTCCCATGAACCGTTCCTCAGGAAGGTATAAAACATGCTGTATTTTCTACACATATTTTTGAAATTTTCCACTTTCTAATTAGTCTTCAGTGGCCCAAAACAAAAGTCACTAGTAATGCTAACATAGGAAGAAAACCGGTATGAATCAATACCTTAAAAAATGCAGAAAAAATAACACTTGTTTGATCTTTATGTACAGGGGAACTAAACCTAAGCTATAGGGGAAAAAAAAAAAATTATAAAGATTCTCAATTTCAGATGCATCTTACAGTGTTCCTATTATCCATGCCTATTAGCAATCTGTAACAAAGGTTTGTATTTCTGTGACTCGCGTCAAACCCACTTCAAAATGAAACTGCTTGACATAACTCCAAAGTTAGTCTCATTTAATGATACTTCCTCTTAATGCTGAAATAAGAACATTAATAATTTAGACACACCTCTTTCCACCCCCACATCCAACCTCCAAACCAGAACATATAAAAAGAACCAAACATTTATGTCAGCTTCATATATTTTTTTTTACCTCTTCTATAATATTGAATGAGTTATAAAATCAAAGCTACTCTCTGATAATCGCTAATTATCTGAAATTAAGCAAATGAAGACTATCACTCAAGAAAACTTGCATCCAAAGCAGCATGCTACCAAGAAAAAAAGAAGTCTGCCTTCATGGTATAACCAGCACAAACCCTACTGAATACTTATGATGAAGAATTCTGCTAAATCAGTAAGGTGAATTCTAGAATTTAACACTCTTCCTAGTTTTTAATTTTAGAGTTCAATGCTGAATTTCAGACTTAGGCTTATAGTTTCAACAGACCCTAAATGCTGCCAACTAAAAGATACACCTAAAAAACTCACATAGTTATGAAGTTATTCAGAACTGAGTTTATAAAATTTATCTCAAAGATCTCAGTTAAAAATACTATATACAGTGTTCAATGCCATTTCTCAGAAAATGACTGCATTGTTGAGCAATGATGGGGCCAGTTTCTACAGTCAAAGTATAAAACATGTATTAAGTTATGCAGGCAACATCCAAAAAAAGATAATTCCATTACACTGCTCGTGCTCTTTTGGTTATTAGTTTAGCAAATGTTTAAAACTGTTTCATAAAATTCAACCAGCAAACTACTAGTTATATGCAGTTTGTTGGCAAATAAAAACAATGACTCTAAAAGGAGTTTCAGGGAATAATTTCAGAGGAGATGGCTCTTCCCACATTTCTGGTTTGTGGTCTTAACTTTTCTCACCCTTCTATAAATTCCTGCTTAAAGCATAGTATTAATTTATTAAACATCTACTAGATGTTTCAGAAGATGGATTATTTTAGCTCCTATGAAATGGTCCTGTCAGAATAAAAATAATATTTTTTAAATGCTTTTGCTTTCAGCTTATTAGTAGCCTTATGGACTCTGTATAGCATCTTTTGTTATGGCTGACACAGCACCTCAGACACCGACAGGAGATCAGAATAATACTTATGGTAAGCACCTACATAAACCCTTTCAGTCCTACCCTTCGAAAAAACATTCAGATGATAAAGACTTAAGTTAATAACACCCTTTAGAGTTGCTGAATTTAATCTCCCTCACCTACCCTCTTGGTATATAACTGAAGCATTTGAATTGCTATGCACATACGTACCAGTCGAAAAATCAAAGCAAAATATGACAAACTGTAGCAAACACAATGATATTAGGAAATAATACCAACCCTAGTAAATTCCAGATGTAAATATTTATTTTAACATTGATGTAAGAATATATCTTCCTAAGTTCACAACAGTATTACAGTAATACAGGGGGGAGTGGGTGGGTAGAGGGAGTGTTGGAAGTGAGCGCAGGGAGTGGCTTCATCATTTTAGGAAAACACCAAGTTCACCCACTTATGACATTTCTTGATTTCTCTGCTATACTTGTAGGATGGCTATCATATTTGTTTCAACATAAGTTTACTAAAAGAGAATCCAGTATTTCAAGAAAAATAATTGTTTAAAGAAAGATGTGTTATTGTGATATAAAAAATGCAAACTCTCAAGAAAAGGTATTTTTAGTGTCAAAACTTTCTTTCATTACTGTCTTTGAATTGAAATCTGCTGTCAGATTAATGAAGATCGGTAGATCTATGCCCTGGAAAACATTCAGTTCTTTGCATGATTAATTTCTGACATTTCTCTAAGAAGATAAGAATTTGCATGCAGTTTGGAATGCCCTAAATTGTTTGAAAAAAGAAACTCTAGAATTTAATTTCATGTAAATAACAAAAGATATCTGGTCCATTTATTTAATAGAGGTATTAAAATATTTATTTTAATATGTACAATATACTCAGTCTTTCCATGTCTTTCCCTTATCTTTCCTCCTTTTATTAGATCTGAAAAAACTCAATTTACAATTTATTAGGAGATGAGAAATCAACAGAATCTATGGCCAAAACCAGTTGATATATGTATTATACAAACAAGCAAACAAAAAAAAAAAAATTTCTTTCAGGATAAAGATATGAAGGTTTTTTTTAAATTTTTTTGTTCTTCCATTTCAGCAAATGTTGTGCAATGTCATCTTACCTTAACATTTCTAGTGGATTGGTCTCATGCACTTGGTTGCCACACCTGGGACAGTCATTGCTGTCTTCAAAGTGTTGAACAATACAAGTCTTACAAACTAAGGGACATAAAAAAAAAAAAAAAAAAGAAAAGAAAAGAAAAAAGGAAAAAAACAACTTAGACTAAGATCTAAAGAATATTGTTTGAACATGACCTAATGATACCAGCTAGCTACTTCATGCATCAAAGATAAAAGAGTATTAATTTAAAGCAAATAATTACAACGTATCGTATGCACTTTTTGTTCCTCAAAGCCATAGCTAGTTCTGTTCTGCCAAGACACTGAGTTCAGCAGCACAGGTTAGACAAGTGCTGCTTCAAAGTATGCAATATTTTTACTACTCAGAATTCTCCCAGCATCATAAAATGCAAACCCCATCCCGTGTAGCACATGTAAAGAGCAGGTTCTGAGAAAGTGCATGCTGGGGAGCTCTGGCCCAGCGGCGCAAATCATCACTTCAGCTGATTTGAAAATTACTTATGCACATTATTTTCTGTCCAATGGTCTTGCTGGCAACTGAAGATACTGTTGTAAACATTTATTATAAGAGAAATGTTCACAGAAATTGTACACAGGTCCAAAGTGTCTATGTTTCCCTCTTGACACAGCACCTTCAAAAGCAATGACAGAACTTACAGTAAACATTTAATGTTTGAATCTTATAATGAAAAATCAGAATCATGACCATGGCAAGTATAAACAAACTCAAACCAACAACAATGTGAATTTAAAATACAATAAACTGAAAGTAGACTAAACAAGGTGCTATGCTACTGTTGCTTCCAAATGATTAATTGCAACTGTAGATTTTTATTGCCATTAATAAGAAAATGGAAACCAAGCTGATAGGAACAAATATGCCTTCTATTATTACTGTGTTACAACATTCTGGATGGAGATAAACTCTATCCTCTGATTATTAATACTTCACCTAAACTGAGAACTGCAAAATCATCCGTAAATGGACTGCAAAAATAAATGGGCTGCTGCAACTGCAATATGCTTTCTGCTGAAACACTTAAAGAAGTAAGCATACCTCTAAACAAGCTGGTAAATCCTAATTATATGACAATCTTTAAGGAATCTTGAAATTCCTTTAACAAATGTCACCTAACAAGCAAAGCCTGCATTTATCTTTTCCTTAGTATGCTTAGAACAGTTACTACAAATCAGCTGATGCTGATAATGCACACATATTAAACCTCCTTGTAAGTGTTTTTACAACTGCTTTAAAACACTAACTTAAGGACATTAACTTCATAGCTGTGGCTGAAATTACAATAAAGTTTTCCCTTTAAGTCTGACGGACAGACTTTAAAGTTCTCTGGCTCTTGGCTCACTCCCCAAGATAAAGGCCCTCGCTGGATGCAGGGCAGATTTCTGACGATCTGGTAAAATGAGCTCAGGAAGCCCTCGAGTACTGTCAAACAAGCCCCGTCAGTGGGGTGCAGTGCTGTCCTCTGCACATGGGGACTCCAAAGCAGCCGAGAACACTGATGCTATGAGAGCACCACTCCGCCCTCAGGATACGAGTTAGGGTTAGGGTTAGGCATTTAGCGCTGGCATACAGATGCAAGAACCTGTAATCACAGAACTCTTCTTATATCACAGATCTTCTATAATTTGTTGAATTACTAGACTTAATTGATTTTTGCACATGCATTCCCTTGCACTTCCACAGGGTAAGAGGTCTAGTACAGAAGAGCCAATGCGATGTTCCATACCTACAACATTTCTTTGCTTTTCTATATACGTTTTATAACCAATACTCCTAAAACTAAACATTTTGCTACTATACTTACAGAATACAAAGGATTTCATCACCCACATAGCAGCCCTCATGCTGGCCTAACAGAGCATTTAAGAACACACCAAAATTAAAGCACGAGTCTGAATAACTTTTAAAATATATGTAAATATTTCTATAATGTCTCCTCATTAATATGACTGAGAATCTCCTTTAGAACTGAAAGTAACAGAAGATACCCTTGAAATTGAAAAGATATGAACATTCTCAGCTCAAAGTTTTTCTTAAGATGTAGTGTCTGCACATGTTCAACCCAGGGGCAACCATCACAAGGTAGAATTCTTTAGCTGATCAGTAACTCCTCAACCACCCCAGCTCCCATAACTATCTGAACTATCTTTCTTTCTGCCATCCACCTGAAATGCAAAGAACAGGGAGCAACTGAAGGCTAAATTCAGTTACTTCACTAATCAAAACCCAGACACATACAGACAATGAGATAATAGGGATGAGGCACAGACAGTAAAATATATTAAAAAAATCACCTCTCCAAGACTATCTATCACCGTTCTCTTTTCTTAAATTAATGTACTAGCTGGGTAAGGGTTAGAACTTTCTGATTTCAACTAGCTATGCCAAAATTAAATAGATGTGGGATTTTAAAAATTTCTTTACCTACATTAATTATAGACATTTTTAGCTGCATTGTTTGTTTTGGATATAATTTCTTTTTTTTTTTTTTTTTTTTTTTTTTTTTTGCACTTTACCTTAAAATAGTTTAAGTTTTTGTAAGATTTTAGAGCAAATAGATAAGAACATGACATTGCTTACTAAAAGGTGTCATGAACTCTGCAGTGCTCCCTTTAAATCAATATCCTGATCCTAAGCACAATTTCCAGCACCTTCAAAGGTAACAGAGTGTACCCTCATTTCAGGCACACAGCCCTGGAGAGGAAGGGGTATTGTATTGTAACATGTAATAAACAAAAAGCTCTCTCATCTGTAGCTAGATAACAGGGTGCATGCTTGGTCCCCCAAGGTCAGGAAGTGTCACAAGTGGGTCTCAGAGTCACAGATGAAAAAGCAGCATCACTTTCCCAAAGTTATACCTTTTGATCAGGCATTGCCATAAGACTTAATGCTCTGTAAAAACATGTACTAAGAAACAAATAGAAACTCTACAGGTGTTCTGACCTGAATTACTTGCAAGCAGCGACCTAAGTGCACAGACAGAATTTGATTAGCTGGCCAAAGAACATAACATAATATTCTCCAAAAATATTCTTGCTTATCTTCAAAATCTGATTACTGTACCTTTACTTTTTTGATACTACCAGTAGTAGTGAACTTTGTCCAAAAAAATGGCTCCAGCTAAATCACGAGCATTCCATGTCATTTGAATTAAGAAAAACCAACAGCCAATAACACTAATTAATATGAAATTCTAATACAGTGTTCATAAGAAAGCTAAGATAAAGTGAGCTTTTCTTTCTGAAATAGGCCATCCTGGCATCATGTCATTTGTTTATCTTGCTCTTCTTGAGAAATGAGAATTGAGCCAATCATGAAAAGTCTTACTCTAAACATGATAGGAAAATCAAAACAGAAGACAACATGGCACAAAAACATGATGAAGGCTCTTAAAATCTGACGGTAATATGTAATCACTGTAAAAAATTAAAAATATTTAAAATACAAGACCGTATGCAGACATAGTGGCGAAACTGCATGTATATTTATTTATTTAAGCAACCCAAAGATTTTTAGAAAGAACATAGTCTAGAAAAGGAGATATTGACAACAATTAAAGTAGTTGATACATTGTTGAAAAACATCTTCCCTATTCATTAATGAGGGAGATGCCTTCTATTTATCAACAACAACAAAAAAATCAGGATATTTTTGGGCATGATTCTCTTACATTACTGAAGCAGAGAGCATCAAACAATTAAATGTAGAGTTACTAGGTCTGTGTGACATAAAACAAAGGACTAAATAGGATTAACCTGTTAAATCTGATGTCAGATATAGTAAAATTCTGAAACAAGACTCCTAGAATAGGTACTTCTTTGATGACTTCAATGAGAATGAAAATAACCATATTCTGCCTAAGGTTCTCAAAGAATCTGTGAAGTATGCTACTGTCTATTGAGCTCTTCAACTGCAGCACCTTCTGTCTCATAATCCTGGTATCTATACTGTGCTGAAGGTAGAGATGATACACTACTGTCAGGAGAAAGTGTACAGATTAGTGGCAAGTGATGATAATACTGACGAGAACTGCAAGGTTAAGAATCATGTGCTATCTCAGAAATTCCATTAATTGGAGAACCTCAGTTTAAAGAGCGTGGGGAAAAAAAGGCTGAGAACCTAGTATGATGATGAGATTGTGAAATCTAAGAGAGTTGTGAATAATGGCCATATGAAAATTTAGCTTAAATATGCTGAGGTAAGGAACATAAGGGTTTGGTTTACTCTAGATCTTTTCTGACTTGACTTCACAGAAACTGAGCTTAGTTTCTCTTTTTCTGCTTAGTTACTCTTTTTCAACGGAGAACTGCAAGTGGGATGGAGTTCCTCTTCTGCTAGCTCCTACAATAAAGGAAGGGGTTGGTCTTTACTTGTTTTTTTGTAAGCCTCCTGTCCAGTAGAAATAGCAGCATCTCTATGGGATCAGTCTTTCTAACCTGACAGCAATTTTAAATGATTGATAAAGAATAAAAAGATTGGAAAAAATTATATAAATATAATTGGTATTGATCAATATTAATTTTGGAACTGATAAACCTAACCCATAACCTTCTCTTACTTGGAAAATTTTTAGCAATGGAGACTCTAAGAGGATTAGCACGAAAACTCTTCAAAAGGATTAGCAGTGGCTCCATATCAATACCAGAGTGGTTTTTCTTTTTTTTTTTTTTTTTTTCTTCTGTCAGCAATTAGTACTAGTCCCCTTCAGAAAGCATTTCCCTATGTTTTAAGAAAGGTATGTCTGAAATTCTTGAAGAGAATTTAATTCCCTTTGCTTGCTCTTGAGATCTCTGCTCCATTCACATCAGAGAGTTTCTCCAAATCTATGATGAGATGACACTGAAAGGAGTCACTGATTTGTTTTGTAAAGATATTTTAAACTTGGCATGGCTAGATTTTTTTGTTTGTTTTCCAAACTAAAGACAAATAGGGTGTATCTGAACTATGGCTTCTATTTATACCTTGAAGAAATTTGAAATTGTTACTGTTCAGAACTCTATGCCACGGGATAGATATCCAACACACTTATTTGAAGTCAGATGATTGACTTCCCAAAACC